TATCCTCCTGACTTGAATATCAATGGCTTTCTGCTAATTCTGACAAAAAGAAATACTTTGTTTGAGCATTTTGTTTCCTTTTTGGAGTGACTGGGGGCAGTGAGGGGAGACCTTATTGCTCTCTAGAATTTCCAAAAGGAGGTTGTAGAGAGATGGGGGTCAGTCCTTTTCCCCAGGTGAGTCCCAGTGACAGGGCAAGAGGAAATATTCTCAAGTTGTGCCCTCCTTCGTGTTTTGATAAAGGGGAGGTTTAAATTTGATATTAGGGAAAATTTCTCCTTGGAAACATTAGAATAGGCTGCCCAGGGCACTGGTGGGGTCACCATTCCTGGAAGTGTTCAAGAAACATGTGGATGTTTCTTGATGTCACTTGAGGACGTGGTTTAGTGGTGAACATGGTGGTGTTTGCTGACAGCTGGACTCGATGATCTTAAAGGTCTTTTCCAACCTTAACAATTCTGTGATTCTACTGCTGTGGGGGGAAATTTTTCAAACCGTTCAGTCTCCAGTTTGCCCAAGCACAGAGAGTTTGTCACTACGCTCCATGCAGGGGGGTGGCTCTTGGTAGCAGGGAGTGTGTGTGGATGGCTCTGTGGCTCCCAAGTAATGGAAGGGAGGGTCAGAGGGCAGGAATGCTCAGAAAGACAGAAATGAAGCAGGAATTTCAATTCAAAGCTAATAGATGGGGTTGGGAGGGTGCTATTAGCAGAAATTATCACTGTGTTAATGTATTTCAGGCAGCGTTTTTTACAGTTAAATGGTGTTATTTTCCTAGTTATCCATTCCCTGACAAGTGGTTATAATCAAAGCTGTCTGTGAGCACTATTATCAGAAACTTACTATTATGTGCTGGAGGAAAAAATATGGGGGGATGCTGCAGTGCCAGAAACCTATTATATGTTTTAAAGATCTACTGCTACACCAAGTATTTATTTATGTACTACTTTTACCTCCCGTGGAAGAAAATAATTTTAACTTCATTTTCTTGTCTTCCCCAACTGCTTTGGAAAATGCACCTCCCAAAATAAGCCCATAATTATGATTAACAAGGCGGGCTGGATCCTCACTCGCTGTAAATTAGTGTTCCCCTACTCCTTGCAATGGAGCAAGGCCAATTCCCTGCAACAGAGAAAGCTCCCAGTGCCCTTGGAATGCTACTTTACATCTTTAAGGGTATTAACAAACCCTCTTTAATGTAGCATTGTACAGAACTTGCTCTGGCCAGAACTTAAAATCCGGGATAAATCAGGCATCGTGGTCCTAAAAGTCTTAGAAATTATCTCGTAAGCAAAATGAATCCCTTCAGTATATTCTGTGGATGAATTAAATCAACAAAACTGCTATTGCTCTGTCATGTGGCCTGGCTTTGGAGTACAACTTTATTTTCTTCTTAATTTTCAGGTTAGCCATATGCTTAAAAATATTACTCTAATTCTGGCGTAGCTCTGTGAAGGAGGGAACCCCAGTGAGACAACATAGAAAGGAGGCAATTGCCAAAAAATGTTTATATCTATATAGTTGACTACAAAACATGAAGGAAAAGGCAATAATAAATTCTTCACTTTTCATTTAATATATCCTTAATTACGATCAGATTAATTGGAGCATCAGAGTAATCAATACATTTTTGAACACATCCTCTTTTAGGCTGCTCTGCCGTGCTCTCCATTCAGTGGGTGCTGCTGAAAATGATGGGCCAAGACTAAGAGTAGTGAAGAAAAATTCAGAATTCCTGAGGATACACGGACAGACACTTTGCATCTGAAACAGGTACGATCCCTGCAACTTGTTCTTCCCAGATCTCCACTTCTCAGCATCCCCTCTTTTTCATCTTACACCTGGGAACTGAACAAACAGAACCCAAATCGGGATTTGGAACAATCCTAAATCAGGGATACTGTGAAGACAAATGGTAAATGTCTGTTGCCCCAGCTGCTAAGTTAATTACTGTAATGGGAAACATCTTGACAGAAGCATTGCATATGGTTATTAGCAATTAACCCACCACTCCAAAAATCACAATTCCTGCTAATAACAGAACAGAGCTCAGCCTTCCTAATTACAATCTCCACACGAAAATTTCTTTATATCAGAAGGGAATGTGAAATCCTGTAACTAGCTACAATTTAAAAAGGCTGGAAATGGAGATGCTGAGAATTAGGCAGAAAAATGAAAATAGAACAGGATGGTGTGTCACTGACTCAAAGTTGTGGGCAACACTCACTCATGCTTGGGGATACACAGCAACTGTCACAGCATCTTTGTAGGAAGACAAAATTATAAATCAAAATTAAAATGCTAATGAGGAGGGAAATATGCTTTTAAGTGGAGAGGATAGGATGGAATGTTGTGAGAGATACCAGCCCTTCTACAGAATTCCTGATCTGGACGGTGCTGTAAACAATGTGCTGAATTTGGATCACACTGGAATCTGACAAGACAATTTTCGGATCAACAAGAGAGGAGAATCGTGTCATTTCCATCCCACAGAAAGTCCTCCAGTGATACATGGAGGGCATGAGCTGCTTTTTCCCCAAGCACTTGCATTCCAGGCAATTGGAGCCCATTATAACTCACCTGCACAAAGCCACCAGGGGAGAACTGGTGGTGAGTTCAAAAGCTGGTTTAGCTGAGCAAGATGCAATTTAATTCCCCAACAGGGAAGGGAATTCTTGTCAGCATGTTCAGTAACTTTTTTTGGTGGTGGCCAAGATGGGATTTGGAGATGTGCATCTCACATCATGGCAGAATAGCAAAGGATATTATTGCTCAGGTTGGGCTTACGCTGGAATTCTGGACAATGCCAGTGTCAGGACAAATCCAGGCCTGCAAAGCTTTCTGCCCAGGCTGCAGGAGATTTTACCCAGCTCCATCTCCAGATTTTGGCTGCAGCTGTATTTTGCTGGGTGGCCCCCCCAGGCAAAGGTCTCATCTATTAGGTGGCCTTCACTCTGCATTTCAGTACCTCCCAATTTGCATGTTGCTGTTCCATTATTCTCAACAACTGAGTGTAATAAATGTTGTGTGTAATTTGTAATGATCGCACACAGCTTAGAAAAATATCATTGACCTTTTTATTTTTGAGTGCCTTAAGATGGAAAAAATTATTTTTTCAAGGCTAATTTACCTCTCCTGGAAAAAAAAACCCAAACAGCTGAGCAATAAGATCCTTTGCTATTTTGCCATGATGTGATCCTGAATATAAGCCAGGTTGGGATGACATCACAGGACATAATGAACACTCAGCCTTGACATAATGAAGGTCTATTATTTTATGAAGAAAGATTTTCTGGGGTTTAAGAAATAAAATGATTAGAAAACTATGTGCTCTGCAGGAGGTAATGAGATTAGCTCAACACATGGTCCTGCAGAGCTAAAACTACTCCAGACACAAGAAAGACTCAGCCATTCAGTGGAAATTTCAGGGTACAATTAATCTGCTCTAAGGTCAGATAAGGGCTGTGTCTTTTCCTCGCCATGAAAAAAGAAATCAGTTGATAAAATCTCAAGGGATCATGTCAATGCAAGCTTCAAAGCAAGGAACAATATAAACCCAGTTTTCTCCTTATGAATGGTAAATGTTTACCTACTTTAGCAAAGGCCTTGGAAAATAAAAGCCATACAGGAAACTGCTTGTAAAGTGTGTGTAAAAGGAACAGCCGGGGGATCTTGTTACAGGACTGAAAGGAAGATAAATTAATGCACTGTAAAAAGGAGGCTGAGTCCTGACCTGTGAGGATGCTGGTGTATCCATCCAGATCCCTCTGTCACAAATCTGTACAGGAGCTGGTTTGGAGCAACCTGAGTCCAAGCCCATTCCACTGGAGTGGAAAGAAATCGCAGCTTTTAGCATGGGTTGGCTCAGGGCCCATCTGCTTGTTCACAGCCCGGTGCCTGGTTAGTCACAGGTCTCTTGAGAGAGGAAAACTGTGGTGTAATGGACCCTGAGACCTACATTAGATCATAAAATGCTTAAGGTGTGTTTTTCTCATTTTTTTATTGCTACTATGTGCAGTTCCCTTTCCAGGTCAGTTGGTCTCCCGTCTCTCACCAGTAAAGGGGAAGGAGTTGCCTTCTGACAGCAGTAAAGGTCTGTGGAGAACATAAAGATGAGAGGATGGATGGTCTAGAGGATGGTAGGCAGCTCTGGGATTTAAAACACACTCCTCAGTCCCTGTTTTTATGTTCTTGCTGTCACTAACTCTCAGCCACAGCGGTTCATCCCTCCCTGAAGATGTTAAATGCATTTATTTTCATGGTTACCTCTTTGAAGTGCTCAGATTTGATTGCAATGGGCATCACGCACAGAACAAAGGACCAGAGGAAAAAGGAGAAGCCAAGATACATCTCTGGCAGAGGGACAGAACCAGAGCTGAAGGCAGAGCTGGGGCTGTCCAGCTCTCGCATAGAATATCCTGAGCTGGAAGGGACCCACAAGGATCATCGAAGTCCAACTCCCATCCGTGACCAGGACTACGGCAAGAATCACACCAGGTGCCTGACAGAATTGTCTGAACTCTTACTGAGCTCTGCCCTGGGGAGCCTGTTCCAGTGCCCGAACACCCTCCCGGTGAAGAACCTTTTCCCAACACCCACCCTGACCCTCCCCTGACACAGCTTCACGCCGCTGCCTCCCATGGTCCTCCCCGGGAGCTGGCGACGGGCAGGAGCGTGAGTCTGCACGTCCCTTCGTGTCCTGCTCAGTGAGAACAATCCCCTCCTCTGCGCTGCCTCCCCCGGCAGGGATGTGGAGCAGGAGGGAACTCCCTTTACAGCAGGAGGATGAGGGGACATTGCCGCGGAGGGCTGTGAGGACACGGGCAGAGCAGAGCAGAGGCATCTCCCATCCCCTCGGAGCTCGGGGCGGTGCGGGAGCTCCGGGACAGCCCCGGCGGGGGCGGGTCGGGGGCGGGCCGGATCCACCCCATCAGTGGCGCGTCTCGCCGCAGCTTTAAATGATTTGGGGGCCGAGGGCGGCGAGGCTGCTGCTGTTTCTGCGGGTGCTGCCGGAGCTGCCGCGGCCGCTCCATCCTCCTTTTCTCTCCCCGGCAGCGCGATGGGAGCGGGGCCGGCGCTGCTGTGCCCGTTCCTGTCCCTGTGCTGGGCTCTGGCGAGCGCGGCCGCGGAGCCGCCGCTGCAGCGGGGCATGTGAGTGTGCCGGGGGTCTGGGGGCTCGGGGGGTTCGGGGAAGGGGGCAGCACAACCGGGACACGCCGCCTTTGTCCCCGCGGGCGGGTCCTGCGGCCCCCGGGGCGGCCCCGCCGCAAAGAAAGTTTAGGTGGGAGCGCCCCAACTCAGCGCAGGGCGCGGACCCGCGGGGGTGCTTTGGGTGGGCACTTGAGAGGCTTCCCGGGCGGGCTCGCCTCTGATGTGGCATCTGAAGGGAGCTCCGGGGAGCGCATCGGCATCCCCGGGTCTGCTCCTGCCTTCCCGTTCAATGATCCAGAGCAGAGCCGAGCCCTGCGAGGGGCACGCTGAGCTCTGCCCGGGGTGGGGAGCAGCTGGAGGGGATCGGAGTAACCAGCGTGAATCCGAGAGAGAGATCAGAGTAACCAACGTGAATCCGGGAGGGAAGAAGCGAGGCGGGGAGCGGGAGAGGTGGGAGCGCGGGGAGCATCCTCCCGCAGCGGTGAGCGCACACAAAGGAGCCGGGGCCACACGTGTGCGGGTGCCGGGGGGGGGGGAAGTTTCTGCGAGGTGTTTCTCTCTGCATGGCGTGAGCAACAAATGGCCTTTGTTGTAAGTGCGGCGTGGTATTTGTGCCGAGGTGTAGTTTTCTGGTCGAATTCTGAACCAGGGCGCGCCGGCAGCGTGCGCAGGATCTGTGGTTAAAGTTTGTGCTCGTCGAAATCGAACGTTTCTGGAAACTGTTTCCTGCTTTGTGTACCTTTTCTCCGCAAGGCTCTTCTTGTGTTTTTAAGGAATGTCGTGTCCCCTCAAAGCCTTCTCAGATGTCTGTATATACCCTAATTTCTAATCCCTTATCTTCCTGTTTATTTATTTATTTATTTATTTGCTTCATCAACTTCATCCCATCCTTTCATAATTAATGACTTGCATTTGTTTTCAACGCAGCTATTTCTTCTGTCAGAAAATCGAGATTTCCAAGCCTATTGCTCATTGGTTTTCCATGCAATACTATGTAAATAAGTGTTCAGCAGAAGCGCTTTTAAGGTGGTTTATATCACTCCATTTTGCTGGAGCACAAAGTATCCATCACTGTGTTTAGAGAAGTTAAGTTCATTCTGTAGTAAAGCTTTCTCCTTTGTTAAAAGTGCTCTGTGTTTCTTTCAGATGTACCACTTGCCCTCTTTCTGAGCAATTACTCTATTAGGAGGAGGAATAGCATTGGCCTACATTAATCTGTTTGCATTTGACATCAGTAATAACTATGATTCTGCACTTTTGAGGCTGGAGGTGCTGTTAACCGTGTATGGCCTCCAAACAATTCTTATTTGCTTTTACCTTTCTCAAGGTAGTGTCACTGAAAGAATGCAGGAAACATTCCCTTCTGGAAGTGATGCTGTGTGAGGATGGGCTGAAGTCACTGGGAGCAGCAGTGCACTGTTTGCCAGCAGTAATCACAAACACCCACCCAGACCCGTGGCAGAGCCTTGAGTGCTTCTCCCAAGAGGCATATTCCTGAAATTGCTGCAATTCTGACTGCTTTTCCTGAGCTGTGGCAAGAATAAGTATTACTCCAAACTTATTTTATGCTGTTTAGGGACTTTACCTTTGATGTAAGCAGAAATACTCAGTCATGACTCCTTAGCCTGCCAGCTTTCATCAAGAAAAAGTGGAATGTCCCAGAGGACTCTTTCCATGAATCGCCTTTTTCTAGCCATTCTGGCTTGTTCTTTTGACAATTGTCATCTGCAGTCAATGGAATAAGAACAGCAAATGTATCCCTTGGAACACAGCATGCTGTTGTTTTGATTGAGATCTTATGTGGCTGAGGCTATACAGGATATTCTTCATAATTGTGTTTGTTCTGCTGCTAACTTGAGTGCTCGCTCCTAGCTAGGATCTGTGTGGATGTTGGTGTTCTGCTTCCAAACCCCCTGAGGAGACTTAATGTAGAACAGATAACAGGATGACTAGCTATTTCCATCAACCACATTTTCCAGACAATTAGCACTTGATGATCTTGTATTAGAACTTTGGAGAACGCTGGAAGGACCAGAGAACAAATACACCGTTTTTGTTGGAAAGCATATTTGGGCCTCCAAATGAAGAATTAACCGTCTCTTATCGTAAAAAGCACATTTTAAACAGTGAGCTGGGGTATGTAATGAAGTGTAGATGTCATGAATGGTTATCCAGCATTGGGTTCGCTTTCAGCATCGTGCTCCATGGAATTCCGGGGTGGCTGTGGGATGGTTCAGAAATAAGAATTGAGAGTAGAGGGCTTGAGTTGCAGGAATAGGAGCTGAGAGGAGAGGGCTTGAGCTGCTGTCAGAAGTGGTAAATCTCTTAGAGAAATATTCCACTAGGAGTGTGAGCAGTACAGATGTCTGCTCGTGGTTAGTGATACAGGACAGAGCAAGAGGCTGGAGTGCTTATGAGGTACGTGCAAGGAACCTCCTTTGTGCAATAAATATGACCTTCCAGGGTTAAGACTGGGCTCAAGAATGGATTCCTCTGTTCCCAGGTGACATGAGTGAGGACTTCCTTGAAGAAGCCATGAGATAAGCTTTGTTCCTGGCTTTTCCAAGCCCCTTGACTCGCTCTGTGGTTTTGCAGGTCCAGGATGACACCTGAAGGGGCTGCTTTGGTCTTAGAGGACCCAGTCACAGTCCTGCAATAAAACTGTTTTGTTTAGGGTTTCTCTTTACTGCTCATGTGTTGCAGCTGCATATTTTCGCTTTGTCCATAAACAAGAAAATCTGGTTGCATTCCAAGGAACACCTGGATGCGGAGCCGGCTTCCTGGCCGAGTAACTGTTTTCCAGCTCCTTCAATCCTATGGGGCACTGTAGGGTTTCTTGTGCTCCTCCAGATAAATCATGTTCCCAAAAACCAAATCGTGCATTCAGATGTTTATCTGTGTTTGCAGCACTCCAGGAAACTTGGCCTTTCAGCTGTACCAGTTGTTGGGCTGGAATGATACTGGACTAGCCTTGCTCCAGGTCTCACTGCACACAGATGTGGCTGTGGATGCGACTTCCAAGCGACATAAATAAAGATTTCTTTTAAGGAATAATTAAGAAAGGTGAAGTTCACAATTTTTTTTTTATTTTTTTGAGGGCTGGAACGTATTTCAGGTCGAGCTGCTGCTGTTGTACAAAGCATTTCCATATGAAGAGATGGCTCTGGGTTTGGATTGCTGCAGTGAAACAAGCTGCACGTCAATTGGAATATTTTGGAATGCAATGCAGAAAACAAAGTAACACAAGAAATGCTTCTATGAAGTATATGGTGATACAGCTTGAACTTGGAGCCTGAAGTTGTGTCATAATACTGTCTAAATGATGTGAAAAGTAGGTTGTGTAGTAATTTCTTGGTGAGAAATTATCTCAGTGTATTGGCTGCTTAGCCAATACACTGTATTTTCACCTGTGGTGATGCCAATTTGCAGGTGTGAGGAAAGTTAGTATTGCCAGCATTAAATAGGGGTTTAAAGTATTTCTAGGGCTTTTTTTTTGAACTGAAATGAGTAATGCAGTAGAATCCCCTTCTGTTTCTTTCAGTGGGTTATCTTCTCTTCAGAGATTTGTCACTTTAAAAAAAAAAAATTTAAAAAGTGAAAATAAGCACCTGATAACAAAAATAAGCCTCTAGTTTATTTATATTTGCATCTTACATCGAGACTAAGTCTTTCTCATCAACTCTTTAAAGGGATGCTGGCAACCCAGAGTCACTGCCAATTGTTTTCAGCTGAATCCTCAAGCCCTTCTTCCCATTTCTGCCTCCCCAGAACCTTTAAGGCTGCAATAAACCCTCACTTCTCTTGAGTAGCAGTTACTGCAGCCTTTGAAGTTTGGGTAATGTGATTCTGGGAACACGGCTGAAGTGCTTTGGCATCAAAGTTTATGGTGGTTTCATCCCCTCAATTCCAGATCTCTACCCCCTCCACCCCAGTCCTTTAATATGCAGTTGAAGTCTGAGGTGTTTCTCATCTTTGTGAACATCCCCCTGAACCAAAAATAGCCTGTTTAGCCTGTGCACTACAGAGTGTTGCCACCAGATAGAGCTCATGCTGGTCAGCGTTAGAGCACACAATCCCATTTTTCAAGACTTTGCACTTAAAGCTTCTGTTTCGCAGTTCCTAAAGGAAAATTAATTTTCGATTTAGTCTTTTAACAGATGGTAAAAAGGCTCTTTTTTTTCCCCCTTCTTTTTTTTCCCCTGGTATATTCACTGTCAGGAGACTTAAAGATAATGAATGAGTGTCATCTTGCTATAGTACTTTTCCTGATTTATGACATTTTCCTGCTCTTCTGGAGAAAAATGAGATCAAGGCTTTCTCCTCAAGTCTGAAATAGCTGTAAGACGGGATCATCAAATGTGATTGCCTGAAGTTGCTGTATTTATCAAAGTTCTCAATTTGGCTATAAATATTTTCCAGTTTTATAAATATTTGTTTTTATACCAGACACCTCACAAAATATATTTACAAGAGGCTCAGAAATTTGCCACCCATAATCACAGTAGCTTATATGTACACTGCATGATTCTTAAATCTGCATGTTTAAAGTAGGTGCTTTTTCAGTTTCAATGGGATTTGGCTTCTCAAGTTACTCTTTGAAAATGCCCAAGAGGGGAGAACTTGTCAGGTTTCTTGAGGTTTAATTGTTCTGCATTATGAAATGTTGATATAATTTAGTTATTTATGCAGTGCTTTGATGTTCATATACTGTGTGTTTGCAGTATTTCTGATTTCTAGGATTCCTGGTTTTTTTTTTTTGTTTGTTTGGACCTCCTTCTTCTGCACTGTTTTTATCCAGTGCTGTTTGTTTATCCTAGTTCTAGGCATGCCATGATCTAGATACGACAGAGAACATGGAATATTTTTTATTAAATTTGAAGAAACCTCCTGGGGAGGAGGGGTGAGATCATCTGTAATGTAAAACTTCATCTTTGGATGACTTGTCAGTTGTGATGGAAGCGATGCTTTGGCTCCCAGAGAGTTAACAGCCCATGTTGCAG